TGTCGAGCCTTGACTGCCTGTGTGAATCAGGTGCTGAGCACAGCCTGGGCTCGGGGCTCCCCTGTCTGGGTTTTCTGAGCCAACGTTTTAGGCGGGGGGATTCCTGTGGCCCTGCCCCACCCAACCCAGACCGAGAAGGAGCATGCTCTGGGAAAGGTGGGCTAGGTGACTCACCTCTGCGGAGATACAAGCCTGGTCTAGGACAGGAAGGCAGCTGGAGGCTGTTAATGGTCGACGGTTTCCTTCAGGAGAGTGTGCTGAGATGACTGCTCCCAGGGAGCCCCCTACTCCACATGCCTGTATTGCGGTTTTGTCTAGCTGATGCCACAGGTCCAATTCTGCTGGCCCTGTATCATGTTTTATTATGTACATTCTAGCATGTAATAAAATTATTTGAGGGCCACCTATCATCCATCCTAAATTTTAAATTTCCCTTTACTGGCACAAAAATCCTTCAGCTAGAGCAGCGGAACATAATCATATTTATATAATAATTATATAGTTGTAATTCATAACTAGCAAAATTAACAGTTATGAAATAGCAAGGAAAATCACTTTATGATTGGGGAGCCACCACAAATTGAGGAACTGTATTAAAGGGTTGCAGCATTAGGAAGGTTGAGAAACACTGAGCTAGAGGTTTCTCGTTTTCATTTTGTATTCTTGACAATGCTCTGCACTCAGTAGATACTTAGGAAGTACTTGTTGAATGAAGATGTGCCATTCTCCAAGCTGATGTGACAGGTCCGATTCTGCTGGCCTTGTATCATGTGCCACTCCATCCACTTGAGCTCATCCTCAGAGGCTGCTCTGCTGTTTTGTAGGCTTCCTAGGCTTGCTCTTGCCCAGGGTCCTGTGCTACTGACATCTCAATCCCCAAATCTTTGCATAGCTTCTTTTGAGGTCTTAGAATAAAGGTCGTCTTATAGAATCTTATTTCTACTAAACCAATGTATAAGGAGTACTCCAGGTAACTATAACATTACTGCACCTTAATTTTCATAGCATTTAGGATCAGAAATTATACTTAATTGCTTATTATTGACCTGCCTTATAACAACCTCTTGAAAAGGGCCTTTCTGTCTTATTCACTGCTTAGCCATATGGCCTGGGACAGCAACTGGCACAAAATGGACTAAACATTTGTTAAATCAATTAATGGATTCTTGGCTGAGAAACCAGTGGGGAGGTTCTAAAAACAAATAAACAGGAACCAAAAAACAAACAAACAAACAAAAACAAAGAAATGCTGTTGTTGAGTTGGCCCAGCTGGTAAATGTTCTTGCTACCAAAGCAACA